ATTATCAGTTATTATCTTTATTATCTTATCTCTTATAGATGTTTATTTATAAAAAAAAACAAAAAAAACGAAATATACTAAGGTTTTGGTGCCAGGCTGTACGACAGTTTGGGAGGTAGACAGGAGGTTTTTGTCGTGCGTCTGGCAGTCAACTTTTAGACAGGAATGGTGTATTATCGATTTATGGCTACAGAGAGAGAGAGAATTTCACCCGACTAAAAATCTGAATATTTAATTAAAACTCTTTAAAATCGTGAAAAAAAACCAAATTATTTATCTAAAACACAATTTTCATACTACAACACACTCATACTACAAGACAACACACTCATACTACAACACAACACACTCACACTACAACACAACACACTCACACTACAACACAACACACTCACACTACAACACACCCTACAACACACCCTACAACACACTCACCCCCAAGTACAGTACAGGTAGAGAACACATTACCACGCTAACACATCACCTCGTCGGAATTAAAGAATCATTCCACGAGAACAGAATATGCAAAATAATTCCCCCCCTCCTCCTCTCCTCACCCCCTCCCAAGGCACAAGATAAATATTTTTGGAGAGTGCATAGCAATGACGCTTCGCTGAACCTCTCTGATGATGTCTTATCTACCCTCCTTGCTTCTGGGAACTGGATAAGAGCCAAGATTTCTTTTTTTGTTTAATTTTTTCCCTTTTTTTTCCCCACCTTCGTACGGCGTTCTTGATATGGTTCCTCAAAAGGGGGTAATATGCAGTGTTTTTTTTGAAGGGGGAGGGAAGGAGGGGGTGGGGTGGGGGGTTTTAGGTTAGGGTTTTGGTATCGATTGTGGTTGGTATTGTCCTCTGTGGGTTACGATACTTTACGATACCTTTTATATGGTATCGGGTATTGTAAATTTCATCTGTGTGTTATATCGGAATCTCGTCGTGTTGTTATGATGTTACTACTATTTTGATACAGGTAGTTGTGAGTGCCTCTGTCCGTCGTGTTTGTGCCTCTGTCCGTCGTGTTTGTGCCTCTCTCTCCGTCGTGTTTGTGTCTCTCTCCGTCGTGTGCAGTCCTTGAAATGTAGTCCGTCCATCCGATCATCTATCCGTCTGTCCGTCCATCCGATCATCTGCCCGTCTGTCCGTCCATCCGATCATCTGTCCGTCTGTCCGTCTATCCTATCATCTGCCCGTCTGTCCGTCCATCCTATCATCTGTCCGTCTGTCCGTCTATCCTATCATCTGCCCGTCTGTCCGTCCATCCGATCATCTGTCCGTCTGTCCGTCTATCCTATCATCTGCCCGTCTGTCCGTCCATCCTATCATCTGTCCGTCTGTCCGTCCATCCTATCATCTGCCCGTCTGTCTGTCCATCCTATCATCTGTCCGTCTGTCCGTCCATCCTATCATCTGCCCGTCTGTCTGTCCATCCTATCATCTGTCCGTCTGTCCGTCCATCCTATTTCATCTGCCCGTCTGTGGTCCGTCCATCCTATCATCTGTCCGTCTGTCCGTCCATCTCATCACATCCGTCCGTCCGTCCGGTTCATCCTATCATCTGTCCGTCTGTCCTTGTCACCATGATGTCCTGATCTCGTCCACAGTGGTCATCCGCTTGAACCACCCAGACGACCTGCATACCCAGTCGTTCTCTCACCGGGGTTATAATTCACCTGGTTGCCTCCTTGAATCACCAGTTATTGTTATCATCATCATCATCATCATCATCATCGTCATCATCCTCATCATCATCATCATCAATACCATCGTCATCATCTCTCTGCATATTTCATTCTTTCCTTCCTTCATTTTATTCTTCTCTCTCCCTCCCCCTCTCTCTCTCTCTCTATCTTCCAATGTCAGTCTCTCTCACTTAGTCTTTCTCCCTCCCTCTCCTCCCATCATCATCACCCTCTCGCCTAAGCATATTCGTAAAGGCATAGGTCACTCTACATTTGGTTTATTGTTATTATTATTATTATTATTATTATTATTATTATTATCATGACGTCAATCACTATATATAAAAACAAAATAAACTTAAGAAATAAAGAGAAAAACATTTGTCTTGGGTTCAAATTTCCTTTAGGTGAAGACAGACAACTGGGTCTCTTTAATAACTCTGACGATGAGATTTGACCCTAAGGTAAGTGGAACCATCGCTTCTCCTCCTTCTCGTCATTTATCATAACTTCTTTCTGATTTTTTCGACCGCGGGCCACCTGAGATCCCAGAAGAGGACGGCCACACTACGTCTTACCGGAGGGCCATGGTATGTCATAACGGAGGGCCATACTTCGTTATAATGGAAGGCCATACTTCGTCATGACAGAGGGCCTTACTACGTCATAATGGAGGGCCACTCTACATCATAACGGAGGGCCACTCTACATCATAACGGAGTGCCACACTACGGTATAACAGAAGGCCACACTACGGTATAACAGAAGGCCACACTACGTCATAAAAGAGGGCCACATCATGTACGTGGCCAACACTATAGTTCCTACCAAGGCGGCGTCCCTCCTTGCCACACCCTTTGTCACAAGTTACCCTGACACAGTGCCACACCCTTTGTCACAAGTTACCCTGATACAGTGCCACACCCTTTGTCACAAGTTACCCTGATACAGTGCCACACCCTCTCTCACAAGTTACCCTGATACAGTGCCGCACCCTTTGTCACAAGTTACCCTGATACAGTGCCACACCCTCTCTCACAAGTTACCCTGATACAGTGCCACACCCTTTGTCACAAGTTACCCTGATACAGTGCCACACCCTTTGTCACAAGTTACCCTGACACAGTGCCACACCCTTTGTCACAAGTTACCCTGATACAGTGCCACACCCTTTGTCACAAGTTACCCTGATACAGTGCCACACCCTCTCTCACAAGTTACCCTGATACAGTGCCGCACCCTTTGTCACAAGTTACCCTGATACAGTGCCACACCCTCTCTCACAAGTTACCCTGATACAGTGCTACACCCTTTGTCACAAGTTACCCTGATACAGTGCTACACCCTCTCTCACAAGTTACTTCCTGATACAGTGCTGCACCCCTTTGTCACAAGTTACCCTGGATACAGTGCCACACCCTCTCACAAGTTGTTCTGATACAGTGCTGCACCCTTTGTCACAAGTTACCTGATACAGTGCCACACCTCTCACTAGTTACCCTGATACAGTGCCGCACCCTTTGTCATAAGCTACCCTACCACCACACCCTCTCTCAAGTTATCACCTCTAATTAGACACTATCAAAAGGGTCGCGTAGTTCCACCAGTCTGTGTAAACTGTGGTAAACAGGTCAATAATTGTGGTACAAATTAGCATAACTGTACAGCCTGCCATGTACCTCAACTGGGGTGTGTCCACCAGTCACTGTGGTGGTGGTGGGTGGTGGTGGTGGTGTGGTGGTGGGTGGTGGGTGGTGGTGGTGGTGGTGGTGGTGGTAGTGGTGGTAGTAGTAGTAGTGTGGTGGTGGTAGTGGTGGTAGTGGGTAGTAGTGGTGTGTAGTGGTGGTGGTGGTGGTGGTGGTGTGGTGGTGTGTGGTGGTGGTAGTGATAGTGGTGGTAGTGAAGTGGTAGTGGTGGTGGTGTACTCTGGCCTTTCTTCCCCTAATTACTTAATATGCAGGTATGCAGTCAGCTTACACGTACTTAATTGCACACGCACACACACACACACACACACACACACACACACACACACACACACACACACACACACACACACACACACACACACACACACACACACAAGGTCGAACTTTACCAACACCTCGTCCACAGGTTCCAGGATGGCGGCGGCTTCTGAGTAGAGCTGCGTTTGTTGTTACCAAGAAACTCACAACGCCACTTGTCGTTGAACACCACAAAGGAAGAATAAAGTGACTCATTCAGTTTTGGGTTCATATAAAGTACTACAGGTGCCTTCGTCCTCAGCCAGATGAGTTAACAGACATACACACGAGCATAAAAAAACACCCTGTATTTACTGGTGGGTTCAATACACACACACAGACAAAAAAAACACACACACACAGTTTCTTCAGAGTCACGGGTCTACAGTGTACCATGACTGTATCATTTAAACCCGCCTGTAGCACACACCTGGCGTGACGCAGGAGTACCTAGAACACCTCCCCACCTGTCCTGACGCCACCACTCTTTGTTACCTTAGTATATCGATTTTATTATTGTCTTTAATTACGTCAGTTAGCTTTATGAATACCAGTTCTCACTCACTCACTCACTCACTCACTCACTCACTCACTCACTCTCTCTCTCTCTCTCTTCTCACTCACTAAGAGAATGCGTTGACAAGAACCACGCTAGCGCAGTTTATGAAGATGAAAACAAAGGAATCGACGATTGGGTCAGCCCTTCCAAGATCCCTTAAGTAGAAACAGGAAACGGAAATTAGAAATAGACACCGGAACCTAACACAGAATCTGAAACCGTAAACCGGACACATATACCGGAAGCTAAACCGGACACTGGAACCGGAAGCCATAATGACATTAACACGTACAATGTTTTAATCAGACAAATTTATTTATTTTTCCAATTCTTTTTACATCAAAAGAAATTCTATGGAAATGTTGTTGGTTTATTGGAAATGTGGATAAAAATGTGTGAGTTTGTGTGTAAATAAAGTGTGTAGCGCAAACTGACTTTTGATCAACAGAATGAGACACTGGGTGATTTACCTTGATATGAGAGCTATGAGGATAGTCACCCCGCGGAGGTACACTGTCCAAATAGATAACCAGGCCCATGTAGATAACCAGGCCCATGTAGATAACCAGCCCCATGTAGATAACTAGGCCCATGTAGATAACTAGGCCCATGTAGATAACCAGCCCATGGGGATAGTCAACCCAGGGATAGTCAGCTCATATAGACAGGCAGCCCATGACGACTAATTAAGTGTCAATGGGTCTACAACAGTGTGTAAATCACCTCCTGCCAAACCCTACATCACGAGACTTACTTGAGGGGGGAGCTCATGGGAGTGGCGACGCCGTAGCCATTTGAGTTGAGGTTCTGTCCGATCTTCATGGTGTCACACGGCAGCTGTTCGTTGATGTAGTCGTTCTTGACACTCTCTAGCAGGAAGGCGTACTTGCCCTTGGACGTACGCACCCTCTCGATGCCTTCCTCGTACGTGGTCGTGAACACGTACTTGCGCGACGACATGAACTCCCACATACGGTTGTACACGCTGATCTTGGATCTCTGCCGGGGCGAGAACACGAGACATGAGGTGATGTACACGTGGGAGAGGAGACGGGGGAGGAGGATAAGGAGGAGGGGGAGGAGGATAAGGAGGAGGAGGAGGAGGATGGGCAGGAGGAGGAGGAGGATAAGGAGGAGGGGGAGGAGGATAAGGAGGAGGAGGGAAGGAGGATAAGGAGGAGGGGGAGGAGGATAAGGAGGAGGGGGAGGATGGCAGGGAAGGAGGATAAGGAGGAGGGGAAGGAGGATATAAGGAGGGAGAGGAGGATAAGGAGGAGGGGAGGAGGATAAGGAGGAGGAGGGGAAGGAGGATAAGGAGGAGGGGGAGAAGGATAAGGAGGAGGGGGAGAAAAGAAAGAGAGAGAGAAGGGGCAAGATAAAGAGGATAATGATTACGTGTAGAAAAGAGGAGAAGGGAGACTTTTGCGTGCAGAGGAAGAGATGGGAGAAGAAGATAATGAGGGAAGAAGAAACAAGAGAGGAAGGTAAACAGAGGGTCGTCCAGTGGGCACTTAAAGCCAAGTGTGTGTCCAGAAAGAGGTAAAATATTGCACCGTATTGAGTCTCTCGTTACCGCGATGGTGTCCTACTTGTTGAGATTAGTAGGGTAGTCTCTCTCTCTCTCTCTCTCTCTCTCTCTCTCTCTCTCTCTCTCTCTCTCTCTTTCTCTCTCTCTCTCTCTCTCTCACCACCGCGGTTCCATTCCCTGGCCAGGTAACAACAGATAACTTGAATAAACAACATATTTCCCAGCTCCCTGTAGTGTGATACGAAGACCACACAAAGTTCAACAAACAATCAGACAATATCTCTACTTAGAAACAAAATACAAACGTATATAAGTACCTCTCCTCAACACCAGTTCATCATAAGTACCTCTCCTCACCACCAGTTCATCATAAGTACCTCTCCTCAACACCAGTTCATCATAAGTACCTCTCTTCACCACCAGTTCATCATAAGTACCTCTCCTCACCACCAGTTCATCATAAGTACCTCTCTTCACCACCAGTTCATCATCAAACTACCTTAACATCGTCACATATACATTATCTATACTATCACTACTATTAACCAACATCAACACAAATTATATACGGTACAATTAAAAGGTCACCAACTACAGTAATAAAAGCTGTACCTCCATTTCCTCACAATAATATCTCTCAGTAACTGTAACTAATCAATATGGCATCGATTACCACATTTTTTTGCTTAAACTTACGTGGACGACTATAGGTAGAGCGGCCCAGCGAGAGTCTCTCCCTCCTCTCTCATTTACTGCTCAGCCCTTCATCAGTCTCCTAGTTTTATACCTTGTCTAGATGATTCATTCATGTGTTATAATTATTAACTCTTCGAAACGTAATGGGGAAGCTAGTTGTTTAGTTCCCTGTAGTGGTGGATGATAATGGTGAGTATTCGTGTTATAACCATTACCACAACCCACTATTTCCACCACCATCACCACCACCACCACAACCATCCACTTCTACCATCACCATTATCACCAACACCACATCCTCTACCACCACCACCACCACATAACCCCATAAGCATCAAACTCACCATCAAACTCTATGACCAACTCGACCTTATTACAACTTGCAGCTCTCAAGGACCATAAACTTCCTCGCCTGGCAATTATTATCCCTCTGATCACTTGGTTTCCATCAGCGGCGCCCAGAGGACCAGACGATGATCCTTCCTCCCTCAGGATATCAAAGGACGTATCCTTCAACCAGATCACACGGCCATAGAATATATAGATAGAGAGGTAATGAACTGTGTCTGGTGATGTGGTAAAGAGTGTCTCAGGGTGTGTGTATTGAGCTGAGATGTTGGTGGGTCTAGCCTCTGTGTTTTGATACAGGGTTACGTACTGTGTGTATTTTTAACTTACGAAACATAGGATGATCAATAGGTGATGTTACTCGTGTTTACATTAGTTTATCCTTGGTTTTCAGTTGTGTAGAGAAGATGATGTTGTCAATTAATCAACGCAAAGATACAGAATATTTTTGACACCTCGACTGTTTTGTAATTGATGTACGGACATTTTTTTTTTCTATGACAAACAACAGGGATTCCAACACAGTCCACAGTCCAGGTAAAAGCTACTAAACGGACATCTCACCGAGCTTATGGAATCACGAGCAACAGAAGACAATTATATCCGTTCATGTGCCCATATAAACGGATTTGAACCCACGGAATCGGAGTCTTTGTTGGTGGGTTGGTTAGTGTGGTGGTTGGCGGGTGAATGGTGGTAGGTGTCGAATGGAGGAAGTGTTAAATGTAGAAGTGAGGAGAGTAGTTCAGGAGGAGAGGCGAACGTACTTTAGTAGTTGACTGTACATTACTGAATGGCAATGGTGTGTGTGTGTGTAGGTGGTGGTAGTGGTGTGTGTAGGTGGTGGTAGTGGTGTGTGTAGGTGGTGGTAGTGGTGTGTGTAGGTGGTAGTGGTGTGTGTAGGTGGTAGTGGTGTGTGTAGGTGGTAGTGGTGTGTGTAGGTGGTAGTGGTGTGTGTAGGTGGTAGTGGTGTGTGTAGGTGGTAGTGGTGTGTGTAGGTGGTAGTGGTGTGTGTAGGTGGTAGTGGTGTGTGTAGGTGGTAGTGGTGTGTGTAGGTGGTAGTGGTGTGTGTAGGTGGTAGTGGTGTGTGTAGGTGGCTGGTACTAAGAAACCCACAGTCTATATCTGGAATTCTAAACTCGGCCAAAAAAAAAATACTACTTATGCCACCAACTCTTACAAACTGGTCCTCACTGATTGACCTGACCTGTTATATACGTGTGTAGATCAGTTCCTTACCACAGTACCATTGTCACGCCTCTTGATAGGTATGCGTCAGGTATGTGTGTGGGGGTAAATATTTGCCATCTAATCCTGATCTGGACGCCATTCTCACATTCTTTCGTCGAGGTTAAACATTGACTACAAATACGTCTCTCTCTCGAATCCATTGTCCTTAAGTTAGTAAAAATGTATATGTTAGAAAGTATGTCTAATGCATGTGTGTGTGTGTGTGTGTGTGTGTGTGTGTGTGTGTGTGTGTGTGGTGTAATGGTCAGCACGCTCGCTGGCAAGTGAGCGGACCCAAAATTATCCCCGGGCAGGGTGAAACTATGGGCAAAATTCTTTACGCCATTTGCCACCGTCTACCCAGCAGTAATTGGGAGCTTGGATGTTAATCGATTTGCGGATCGTATTCTGGGGTAATGGTTAGCCAATGCAGTTGACAAGTTGCCCGGACTTCTCGGACTATTCCTTGACACTGGGTCACGCAACTCATTAACTCAGTGTCTGGTTGTTAGTGACAGCTTCTACACCTTAAACAAACTCACGCCAAGGTGGCCCTTGGGCGGCCATTATTATTATTATTATTATTATTATTATTATTATTATTATTATTATTATTATTATTATTATAATAAACTCATAAGAATACCAAGTTAGTCTATACGATAGTGTAGCGACGAGAAGACAGAGAGCGCTGCAGCGAGCGGCCGGGAAGGCGTAAAAGTCTACGGTGAATGCCACCCAGGTTTCACTTACTCTTACATTATTATTATTATTATTATTATTATTATTATTATTATTATTATTATTATAATTATTATTATTATTATTATTAATCACTTCCAGAAGCCCGGGCCCCACAAGGTCACACACACCGCTGGAGTATCAACGACAGAGGTTCCACGAACACTCACACGCCAGTTGGTTCTAGGCATTCGGCACTCCAGCCCCCACACACACACACACACACACACACACCACATAAGTAAGCACAGCGGTGAATTATACAGTAGTTTCTAACGCCTTATATATGGGTTAGGGTGAGTTTACAGTGATTGTGGTGCGTTGGGGATTTAGCGGTACAGGGGTTCCAGTTGTAGTGATGTGTGCGTGTGTGTGTGTGTGTGTGTGTGTGTGTGTGTGTGTGTGTGTGATTCTTGTCAATATCCAAATAAGAAGAAAGAAAAACATTCATTAATTTCTAATCTTGTCCGTAATGAACTTATGTAACGTCAGGCTCACGTGGCTGACTGTCTCTGTCTCGACCTGACCGTGCCACATGACGTCAGCCACGTGTGATTATCTAATAAGAAAAATTAATGTCAGGCTCACTCAGACTTCTGCGTTTATACCTGGAGGGATAATGACGACCGGTGCCATCATCATCATCATCATCATCATCTATCATCATCATCATCATCATCATCACCATTATCATCACCATCATCATCATCATCATCATCATCATCATCATCATCATCATCATCATCATCATCTATCATCATCATCCATGGGGTTTCTTTCACCTGGTGTCAATTAACCTTAAGAAATCTCTATATTATGAGGCTAATGAAGACTTACCTGAGTTATCAATCTTATCGGTACCTTCATCCTCCCTCACTTCCTCTTTCCTCACCTCCTCCTCCTCTTCCTTCTCTTCCCTCACCTCATTCTCCTCCTCCACTCCTACTGTTAAACTCTCTCTCTTTATCTTCCTCTTCTTATTCCTCCTCCTTCCATCTCCTAACCTCTCCCCTCCTTTGTTCCTCCTTCTCAATCCTCTCCCTCATCTCCTTCACCATCTTTCTCCTCCTCCCTGTCCTCCTCCACTCTCCACAGAATTCTCCAACTCCCCTAACTCCTTCCTCCACACTCACCTCTTCCCCCTATCTCCTTCCTTCTCTCCCATCTCCTCCCTTCTCCCCTTCCTTCTCTCCCATCTCCCTTTCCTTGTATCCCATCTCCTGTCTTCTCCCCTTCCTTCTCTCCCATCTCCCCTTCCTTCTCTCCCATCTCCTCCTCTCTCCCCACCCACCACAAATATACCTGCATAAACAAACATGCTGTGTCCTCGCCTCCTGAAGCATGTGGTAACTCTGGCTAATTGGAAGGTGGTGGTAATGTTACTCCCAAGTATGACTTCTGAAAACTTATACGAGTATAAA